TTTTCAGGTATTAGATATGTCAAACTTTAAATATTCATTCTTTGGCATTAAAGTCAGTGATCCCAATTAAAAGCAGGAGAGAGGCTGCAATAGAACTAAACCATCCTCAATAAAATTTGGTGAAAATACATAATTTTAACAAAGTATTCCAACAACATATTCACAGAGCTTTTTGTTTTTTAAAGCTCTACCTAAACAGATTAGGAAAGGCCCACTAGTGACTTTAAACTGCAACTTAATGAGTAAATATTCACAAGAAGATAATCACAAATTAGATGTTAAACATATATTTACAGATGGATAAACTCTACACTAAAATTGGTACTTTGTTTCATTGGGCAAAGTGAAAAAGAGCAAAAGAGGGGAATAAAATTCTGACTCAGTACTGTGGGGTGAGGCAGTAGCTTAAAAATGCAGTCCAGATAATGAATATTTGTGCAACAAACACTGTCTATTATATGTCAGTCTATGCACTAGACAGCTTATCTTCAAATGGAAGACAGAGAATAGAAAACGAACATACAGCAATTTAAAAATCATTTCAGGTTGCAATATGGAGGAAATAAAAAGGTAAAATATAGTAATGAAAGGGAAGGAAATGACTAGAAAAGGTACTCCAGAGAGTGTCTCTTAGAAGATATTTGATCTAAAATCTGAATGAAAATAAAGACACTAATAAGAAAAACTTAGATAATAACATTTCAGAAACTATGACCACAAATGAAAAATTCCTGATCTAAGAGGTTGTTCCTTTCTTCTAGGAAAAGAAATTTCACTGAAGGTAGTGCATACTGAGAGGAAAAAAAAAAAGATACAGGATAAAGTAATAGGGGGAGAGAGAGAGAGAGAGTAAATCATATAGAAATTAATAGGCCCTGATAAAGTACTTGGAATTTATGCTAAGTGCTATCAATAAGAAGTCATTGAAAAATTTTAAGTAGGAGGATAATCATATCATATGTACGTCCAAAAAAAAGTAACATTTTTATAAACAGTGTGAAGAATGACAGTAAGACAAAAATGAAAGTAATAAACCAGAACTGGAACTATTGGAATGGTCAAATGTTAGCTGTTAGTAGCTGGAACTGAGTAGGGCAATAATCATATGACTAGAAAGCATGGAAGGTACAATGTATATTATTAAGATAAGACATATTATTCTAATGGGTTGTTGGGGAGGAGAGAGGTAAAATATGACTGATGGGCTTTTCTCTTGAGGCCTGTAAGTACCACATTGTCATTAATCAAAGAGGAAAAGACTAGGAGAGGATTTGCCTGAGGAAAAGGATGGGTTTGAAAATCATATAGTAATTTTTGTGATTAGTTGGGGTGTATATTTCACATACAAGTGGAGATGTCAAAACAACTATAGGATACCTGAATCTTAGTTCAGTGAACAGAATGTAGATGATAATCAAGGCTATAGGAATGAAGTAGGTCAACTATAATGATACTAAAGGTGGTTGGGGGAGTGGGTAGAGTGATTCAAGAATCCTTGACAGTTTTCCCAAAAGTAGAGTGAGTTGAAAATAAGTAGAAACTAAGAGCCACCAATGATTTGATAGGGAAAAAAGAAATTATTGCAATTCAAGAAAGCCAATCACTACGCCAAAGGCTCCTGAAGTTGATTAGAGAAATATCTAAACATTAGCATTGAATTTGACCATTGGAGATAACAGTTGACCTGGCTTTTTATTTTGAATGATATAAAAAAAATAAAATTTATTGAAATAAATTTCCAACAAAGTTCTGGAGGGTCCTAGGATCATAATAGATAACATTTTACTCATTAGACATTTCTTTAACTACCCCTTGAATTTTTTAGCTGTGTCATAATAGTGGATCCAGACATACTGGTATCGTAAAAGTTACTAAACCATGAATTTGTGTATGTACTATTTATAAAGTCATGATGACACCCATTTTGGGCTCCAGATCAAAGTTGTCCTCACAACCCTAAGGGGTCTCCTTAGCAATATCCACCAAAAAGTATTATCATCTCTTTCTGTATTTCCTACAAGCAGACGGTGACCATTTACTATATTCTCCAAAGTGATTTTCTTTTAATAAGAACTGTATAGATGTGTACAGTTTTTTTAATTGAATTAGTTACAGGAAAGTTAAATTGTGATATTGTATTTTGCTAGTGTTAAAAAAACTTAAGAACATTTTATACTATTTTCCCTTATTTTCAAATATCATACCAATGGTTTCTGAAGCATACTAATTTCTACATTAAAATGTTAATTTTATGATGCCTTAGAAATTAATCTATATGTATTAGTCATTTACATTGTAACTGCTGTCACAAGCATCATTGTACTTCAAGTACACAATATTGAGGTCAGCCAGTACTAATGAAAGAGCTGAGAAATAGAATGAAAAAGAAATAAATAAAACCACTGAAAGAAGAGAAAACATATAAAGTACATACAGAATATAAAAATAGTAACAGAGGACCTCCCCGGTGGCACAGCGGTTGAGCGCTGGGTTGCGAAGATGCCCACAGCCTCTGCAGCGTCAGTTCGATCCCCGGCTGCTCCCTGGCCACCGGAGGAGGGTCCCACACGGCGCGCAGACCTCTCCTGCCGCCCGCTGCTCCCCTCAGCAGTGTACTTCGGTCCTTCTGCCTGCTCTGCTCCCCGCTCTGGCTCTGGTGAATTTTCTCACTCTCCCACGCTTCTGATTGTACCCAGTGCTTGTATAAATAAATGAATGAAAATAAATAAATCTTTAAAATTTTTTTTAAATTAAAAAAAATAGTAACAGAAAAATAAGTTGTTACTAGCAAAAGAATGCAGATGAGTCAATAATCATCATTTCACTTAATCACAAAATATTTCATCATGCTTGACATGTGAAGTCATGAACCCACAAAACCCAGCTTGAGGAGCTATATAAATAGATACTGTTTATTAGGATCTAAACATACAAAAAGCTGTAACTTGACTGAAAAGTTCTGCTGGTCTTCCTTCCATACTACAGAGATGTTTCAAGAATAGTTCATGACTGCTAACATGAATATGAGACTAGAGCAAGACTAGTGTTATCAGTTCTGAATCATAAACACTCTAAACTTGGACTTTGTTCAGCACCATGCCAACTTCCAGGTAGATTTCATATCATGGGAGCTCTGAAGCTCCTATTGCTTTTCTTTAGAAAATAACAAGGTATCTGAATGGCTCTTCTGTAGAGTTCATCTTGTTGGTCTACAATAGTCACTCAAAACTCTAGCTCTCTTAGATTGCCTTAGGTCAATACATATAGGGAATGTTCGCTAGTATTCAAATAAATATTAGGTTATAAGTTCCATATGGAGAGGATCGTTGGCTAATTCTGGTTAATCTCCAGTGCCTGGAATAGTACTTGAAATAATGTGTCCAAAGTGTGCAAATTGTATACAATTTGCAAAGCCCCCACAAGAGCCAGATTAGTATTTAAAATGGATGGATGACTTTCCAACTACAGAAATGTATTTTTCTTTTGATAGGAAGGACTCTGGGCATTCCCAGGTGAACTTGAAATATATTTCCCACTAAAACTAAAAGTTATTACAGGCTTCTGAGGTTTTGGAACTTGTTCATTAAACACATAAAGACTCAACTGAGAATCAGTATCATTCTGTGGCTCTAAGGGATGAGAAACTATGACGTGAAAGAGAATACCTTCATAATGTAGGACTTGACCAGACCATAATCTTCCAACTATCACTTGACCCTGACAGCCAAAGGAAAATGGTGTGGTTAAACAATCCAGATAGAATGACTGTCTTGTTATTTCAGCAGTTTGTTTTAAGTTTTGAAACTCTGCCATTTTTCTTTGAACAACAGAAGCCAAATATTCTGAGAAATAGAAAATGTCAGCTTACTCTGTACAAACTGAATAAGCATTCAAGGATTCTGAACAGTGTTCCTAAATTTCTAAGACATGAAATAGTTCTAAGAAATAGTTCAGGTATAATGCCAATATTGTTCCTTATTGATATTCTGATAGTACATTGAGTCCTGTAAATCCCTCAGTCTGGCCAGGCCTTCACAGCTAAAGTAAAATAATAGTCAACATATTTCCCAGATAAATGCGAGCAAAAAAAAAATATTTTTTCCTGATTTATCAGACAAACTTTTGGGTAGCTCTATTTTTACCAAGATACGTATTATATTTTTTTAATGATATATATTATCTAAGTCAGAATAAGCTGCCCTTAAAACAAAACAATGATCCCCCATTCAATAATTTAATTTTGTATATTCAGAATTTTTCACATGTATTATTAAATTTCAAAAATCTAAAAACACTCTTTGAGTCATAAGAGCTTATTTAATAAACAAGTATGTGTTCAGTACACGTATAGCATGAGCTTACTGAAAAAATGTATTTGCAGCTCAAATGCCAATGTCTCCCTACTGTATATTAAAAAGGTATTTCATGTTTGGATTTAACTTATAAAAAGTTACTCCTGAGTATCTAAGAAATTGTCAGTTTTCTAATTAAAACAGCAAAATTTACAATTGTGAAAGGAAGAAGACCAACCAACCATAATTTATAAGATATGTATGGTCACTTGATATCCAGGTTCTTAAACTACAAAAGTCATTTAAAATATATAAGTGACCCCAAACCAATAATACAACTTACAAATATGACTGCAGAATTGAGACTTCAAGAGTGGTATAAAAAGGGGGGAGAGCTAAGTAGGGAAGGGGCACAATAGCCTATTGTGACAGATTTTTAGTGTCTTAGTGGTGGGTATGGTATGATAACCTATATCTGAAGGGTATGATCCTATACCTCTAAATCATATACAGTGTTATAAACTAGTGTTACTTCAATAAAAACATAAAAGTGTTTTCACTGGTTATTTTTTAACAATGACCCAAAGATGACCTTGCTATTAGCAAATCTTTCCCTTTTGTCATCTTCTTATTGGGTAAAACATACAAGGAAAATAAATCATGTGACACAATGCATTAATATACTTTAATTAGTCTCCAGTTATTTACCTTGGGTCTTCTCTACAGTTGAAAGGCCAAGTCAGCCTACTGCCAAGCAAGACCTGACAAGCATAAGGAAAGGTAATTATATTGAAATGTTTAGAGAGAATAATTCTTTTTCATGGCAGTTAGTAATAATACAAACAATGTTATTTTAGTAGCACCTTTTCTTCCTTTCAGCTTTTGTTCCTAAGCCTGAGTATGTCTTGGCACCATTTTAATATTAATTTCTAACATAAGCCTTAAATTGGATGGTGTTCTGATCAAATTCATTTTTAATTTTGTTTTGGGTTAAAGTCAAGGTACAATATTAACTATTAAAAAAATACAAATTCGAAAGAAGAAGGTATTAAAGACAATGGATTGATTCCTAAAGACAAATGTAGAATTCTCAGGAAGATGAACATGTAATAACAACTCAGATTGATCACTAAGTTAAAATTTAATTACTATACAAAGGTTATAATTTTGTTATAGTATAACTATTGTCTTAAAGCATGCATTTCAAACAATCATGAAAAGTTAGTAGCTCTACTGTTTCACAAAATTATTTCTGACTTACTGAGTGATGGAGGCAAATGCGAACACTCATTGCTTTAAGTAACTGTTAAGTATGGTCTCATCTCTCTGGTTTTGTTTATATTAAAAAATTATTATCATTTTATAGAATGTGTAGTATGTGTTTATATCATTTTGTGTGAACTGAAAAGGAGTCTGGGATTCGCCATAGAAATAAATGTACTGTCTGTAATCTAAAAATTTAACTCATAATTATTATACAACAGTCAGTGCTGTCTATATTCACTATACTATATTATAATCATTAAATTTCCTAAGAAGTTAGATATTACATACTCCAACCATAAAAAAGAAATAGTAGTATGTGAAATAAGAGAGTACTAATTTCCACTAAAATGGCAATCATATTATTTAAATTTATTAAATCAACATTTATACCTTAAATTTATACAATGTTAATGTCAACTTATTTCAATAAAAGTTAACTAAAAAAACAAATAATAAGAAATTTTATTCGCATAATAAAACTTGAGTTTGCTGGAGATTGTTCAAAATTCCATTACACACAAGTTTTTGCCATCCAATGATATCCTATCAGCAGTTCTGAAGTCAGTTTATTAAATAGCCGTCCTAGTCATTATTACCTGAGAATGCAAAGCAAATGAAGTTTGATGTGCTCCCCATAAGTATGTGGCCCTCTTTGTAAAACTCAGTTTGTAGGAATCAAGTTTATATAAGATGGCAATAATAATGACTACAAAAATTGCAGTTAGTATTTACTTTACAAATATGTACTTAAATATTAAAAGTTTGGAGTGTTACAAGTCTTTCTAAAAAGAGAATTTATTATAAAACAATCCAATAAGCTAGTATGACAGCAATGTAGTTCTTTAAAAGGAAAGGCTAATTTATTGTTTAAATATTTCAATTAACAGCACTACAGTTGTTAAGATTTATATTTCTTATTGAAACAATTAAGTTAATCATGTAATCATGTAATTTCTGATTACCAGAGAATTTCAGGACACGTCCCTCCATTATATATGTTCCTGATAGACTGATCTTGAAATTACAGAAATTTTAGAAATCACTTAGTTCAAACCTTCATTTCATAGGTAATAAAGGTAAGGTTCAGATAATAACAATTAATAACACAAGTAGCCTTAGACGCTAGACTAGAACTCAGTCCTCCAAAGGAGTGTGTATCACATCTAGTTCGAAACCTTTCAACTGTTTTTTTTGTTATTTACTTGTTTTTTATTTGTTTTCCAATTACATTTCTTGAAGTAAAGTTGATTTACATTATTGTGTTCATTTTAGAGGTTATAGGTTCAAACCTCTACAAATACATGTGTCCACACCATGTCCACCTCTAAAGTCCCAATAAGCCATTGGGACCTACCAAGCTCCATTCAGCCTGACCTGGCCTGAATCCCAGTGATACCCTCCCCTTCTTCACATCAATCAGATGTGAAGGTTTTGTTACTGGTATGGTTTTGTCTGATCTTTTGTTTCTCTATATTCCACATAGAAGTGAAACCATCTGATATTTGTCTTTTTTTCTTCTGTCTTACTTCATTTTCTGTCTTACTTACTTTATATACTAAGTGATTTCATTTAGCATTATCCTCTCCAGTTTTTTCCACATTGTTACAAAGGTCTAGAATTCATCTTTTATATGGCTGAGTAGTATTCCATTACAAATAAATACCACATTTTTCTGATCTGCTGTCCTTGGGCACTTAGTTTGTTTTCACAATTTGTCTGTTGTAAATAGGCCTGCAACAAACAGGAATATGTGTGTGTGTATGTGTATCTCCCTTTGAATTAATGTTTTTGCATTCATTTGGTAAATACCTAGAAGTAGAGTTGTTGGGTCATATATCTATTTTCAATATTTTATAAAACCTCCATACTGTCTTCCATAGGGGGCTAGGAAAGTCTACATTGGGTGCAGCAGGTTGAGCACAGTGCTATGAAGCTTTCCACAGCCTCTGAGCAGCAGACCTCTCCTGTCTCCCCCACTGCTCCCCTCAGCAGTGTTTTCTGTCTCTCTGCCTGTTCTGCTCCCTGCTCTGTCTCTGGTGAATTTTCACCACCCTCCCGTGCCTCTGGCCTGTACCCCAGTTCTTGTATAAATAAAAAATAAATCTTTAAAATAAACAGTGCTCCATACCCTAGGTAACAACAATTGTTTCTGGTCTTTTTGATATGAGCCATTCTCCTGGGCGTTAGATTGTATTTTATTGTGGTTTTGATTTGTATTTCCCCGATAAATGATGAGAATTTTTTTCATGCATATACTGGCTATCTGAACATCTTCTTTGGAGAAGTGTCTAATTAGCTCTTCTACCCATTTTTTGATTGGGTTGTTTTCCTTCTGTTCAGTTGCATTAGTTCTTTATATATTTGGACATCAGTCCTTTGCCAGATACAACTGTTTTTTGCTATTTACAAAACCATGCCTAACACTTTAACCTGGCATTCAATAATTTTTTTCTGCCCTAAACTTTCTTTCCAACTATATCACTCCCTTACCATAAAACTCTATTCAAAATGTTCATGGAGGGGTCTCCCTGGTGGCGCAAGGGGTTAAGACACAACTATGAAGCTATCCGCAGCCACCACAGCACAAGTTCAATCCCCAGCCAGGAAGCAACACACATGGTGCAGCTGACCTCTCCTGACTTGCCCGCTGCTCCCCTCAGCAGTGTGTTTCAGTCAATCTGCCTGTTTTGTTACCTACTCTGCCTCTGGTAACCCTCTCACCCCCCACACCTCCGGCCTGTACCCCAGTTTTTGTATGAATAAATAAAATAAATCTTCAAAATGTTCATGGATATCTACAAGGTTTTCATCTCCACTTGAAAATTTTCTCTCCCTATTATTTTCTGCAGTGGCAAGTCCCATCTATGCACCATCTACACAAATACTTCGCTGATCTCTTAATTTAAATCTATCTGTAGAAAATCATTTTTTGTGGCATTTTCCACTTTCTTTCCTCTTACAGTAAGTTGTGTGTGTTATAACTTCTTAAAATTGATGCTGCTTGTTGGCAAGAACAATTCATCACCACTTGGCATGTGAATAAATTATCACCCTTGCTATGATCCTTTCAATAATACTGCTGAAAGTTAAATTCAAAAATTTTATACTCTGCTTGATTTTACTAAAACTTGTAATAAAGTAGGTTTTCCATACTGGCTAAGTTTCACTTGTTTCCCTTAAAGCAAGAAAAGCACTGTTCCAAATCAATTAAAAAATTTTCATGAATAGATCCTTTTGTTTTTAATCTTTATTTTTAGGTGCAATGATGAAGACTTCTTTCCTAGTTTTGAATATCCTGGCATTAACCCTGCCTTTCTTGGTAAGTTAATTATCTAGTCAATTTGCATTATGGCTTTAAGATTTTCTTTGAAAGCTCTAATTATGCAAATTTCTAAATACAGTTATACATCATAGAACAAAATAGCTGCACATTATATATTTTCTTGAAACTAATTTATTTTTATATTTATTTCTCATAAACTTAAAGCCATCTTCTTCTGGATATGTTTTCTGTTCCCAGGAATTAAGAAATCATATGTTTATCCTTAAAGTATTAGGAACTTGATTAAGCTTTTTCACCAGTGTCAAACACACTGGCATATGTATGTTACAGTGTCTTTTGAGCACTCTTTCCATTATGCCAACTCACTGACTCCTCCCTAGGGATCACATTCATAAACAGCTCTATGGCTTTCAGGTCTTTTGTCCTGTTATGTCTAAGACTTTCACACCAAGAAAAGATGTTATTCTTTTAATTTAACTTGCATTATTGATGATTTGGTTATTTTTGCTCTTTTTTATTTCCAAGTTAATATGGGGGGTTCCAGGCAATTAATTCTCAACAGCAAGAATGTGAAGCAAACATAAAAAGTTATATAACCTCTTTTTAGATGGCAAAATTTTGGAAGGTAATAGTGCTTGATTCAGATTTCATTTATTATTAAGTAGAACTTTTTTTTAAGTTAGTGCCCATTATTCTATTAGACAAATTCCTGAAGTCAAAATAACTTTTCAAAAATCTGAATTATTATGGCTTTTACATTTATCTCTTCATTTGTTCTTTGATTTGCATTTTATTGCAAACACCTATACATTTAGACCTTGGGTTTTGCTTTTGAATGGTAAGAATTAGTCAGTAAACCATCCACAGCTGCCTGCTCTATAGCAATTTCTTGAGCTACCTGAACTCGCTATATTGACCAAACACTCCTTCCCTTTTCACAAAGGCTTTCATCCCCAGGAACATAAATAAATAATTTAAAAGAAAAATGACACTATAGATTTTATCATTCCATTTTATGAGTAGTCAAGTTTATGCAAATTAAAACTGTGATAGAATATCTTATGTATAAATGTACCTTTTATCTCCCCAATAAAAATAACTACAATAGTATTTATAAGTAGCAATTATGTATTGAACTACACAATCGCAGAGCTTACCAGTGTCATTGCAAGTTGGCTTAATTTCCTGTACAGCTATTTAATCATTCCTATCAAATAACTTTGCCCCAATCACATGTTTGAAAAACTATCTGAAGGAGTTAAACTATTTTTAAAACATAGCATATACAGATGTTATACATCTTATTATAATAAAAATTTTGAAAGAAGGCTTGTTAACAACTACATAAGAACAAACATTTCACAATATGATTGATCATCTATTTTTCTACTAAAAATATGCCAATGTGAAACTGAGGTAATGGAAAAATAAGAAATCACACTTCTTGAAATTAAAGATACTAAAACACTTATTAGGAATATAGAAATATTGGTCAACACTAAGGTGTTTAAACTTTCAGAATTTTAAGAGTAAACAAACTTTCTACAATTATCAAATTACTTTTAAATTTGTTGTTTAATATATTTAAAACAAATTATCTTACATCTCAGTACATCCTGAATTTCACCACTTGTAGCAAACTTCTGATTTTTTTATAACTATACTTTCCAAAGACTTCCGGAGTCTTTTTATTTCCAAAGGATATATATGAAACTAGAACTATCACTTTTAAAACATATAATATTATTACCTCATCTCAAAATTTTATAAAAACTTTGAGTTTTTTAATTGAAGTAGCATTGCATTATAAAGCTATAAAAATTTGCAAAAAATTTTTTTAAAGATTTTTATTTATTTATACAAGAACAGGGTACAGGCCAGAGGCACGGGAGGGTGAGAGGATTCACCAGAGACAGTGGGGAACAGAACAGGCAGATTGACAAAATACACCACTGAAGGGAGCAGCAGTTGAGACAGGAGAGTTATGCCGCACCATGTGGGATCCTCACCGTCTGGCTGGGATGGAACCAGTGCTGCAGAGACTGCAGACAGCTTCAGAGCTCGGTGCTCAACTGTCTGCGCCACCATGGGAGGTCCAAAATTTGCAAATTTTTAAAGCTTTGCATATACATGTTAAAAGAAATTGTTTTCTCACTCCTAATTCCCTATTAATGTTGAAATCCATAATCAAGAAACACACTATAAAACAAATGAAAGTTGATTTAAAACACCATTATTTGTATAATATTTATATACTAACATAATGCTAAAGGAAATATTTTAAATCTAAGGAAATCTCATAAATCTTTTTAGTAGGAAAGCCAAAAAAGAAAAATATGCTTAGCTCTTCCCTTAATATTAACAAAGTGCATATAATACAAACTGAACACAGATTATCCATATTTTTAATTTGAGCAAAGATGTATATTTACTGGCACATGAGTGAGATGATCATGTATTTTCAACCTTGAATCAACCTTGAATGTTTTTTCGTAGGCAGTGATTTTTTTTTATTTTTTAAAGATTTATTTATTCATGCATACAAGAACTGGGGTACAGGCCAGAGGTGTGGAGGGGTGAGAGGAATCACCAGAGATAGGGTGAGAACAGAACAGGCGGAATGACTGAAATGCACTGTTGAGGGGAGCAGAGGACGAATCAGAAGAGGTCTGCTGATCACTTCCCTGGCCTGGGATCCAGCTTGTTCTGCAGTGGCTTCTGATAGCTTCATAATGCTGAGTGTTAACCCCTTGAGCCATCAGGGAGGTCTTGACGGTGATTTTTAAAGGTAACTTAGCCATGAGTTCATTATTACTATTCAATTAGCATATTGCTGTTGCTTTACCAACCTTAGAGACTAAATATTAAAAATGCTTTACGATATTAAAATAAAAACAAAGAAAATATGTTTTGTCTTTAATACAAATGATTTTTAAAACCACAAAGAAAAAAATCTAGACCCTGCTTTCTTTTGTCCTTTAACTTCTTATTTCTTGCTCTTTTTCTAAAACCCACCAGGGTGCAGAGGTGCAAAACCAGGAACAACCAACAGTAAGTTTATTTTTATCAGAGATATCAACTCCAAAGAATTTTTTCTGTAAACTTTAATGATAATAAAATGTCTCCTCTCTGGGGACTAAATACTTAACTCCATAAGATAATCTGAAAAAAAAATCACTGCAACAAGCAATCATATGAATTAACTTTAATGTTCATTTGAAATTCTTGGTTTTATAGTCCAAATCATCTGTTTTTGGTTTTTGTTTCTATTTAGCAATGTAACAGAACTTCCTCAGGATTTAATATGGGAATAAATGAAAACAAGGGTAAAGTTTAATGTATCTTCTGCTGACTTTTTAAGACTTGGGTCAAGATTCCTCTGGAATCCATCTTTGAATACTTCTCAGACACTTTTATTTACTCTCTTTTTTTGTTTCCCAAATATGTTTAAAGGAAAATATTTAAATGTCTTCTTTTCATGAATAATCCTTGCTTTGTGGTATAATTTTGTTGATGTGTTTCTATTCATATGGAAATAACCAATAACAGTTTTTTTTATAATTGCACATAATCAATCAAACAGATGCAAATAAAAATAGAAAATTCTCTAACTGATCTTTAATGGATAAAATTAAACTGAAAAAAATCAAAGTATAAATCCAGGAGTCCTTCCACATCCTGTTATTTTACTCTTTTTTTTTTAAATGTGACCTCAGCCTAATCTCTAGATAAAAATTTATAAGCTATAAATATGTAGTGCAAACACACATTTCTCTGTGTGTGTCATATTTGTACACATTATGGCAAAAAGCTCTATGAGATATTTTGAGCTATTATACTTAATTCTAATGCTCAATAAATACTGAGTTGTTTCCATATATGCCAAGCCCAGGGCAATATGGCTTATATTATGTATTACCTCTTTTGATTTATTTGAAACTAGTATTATTTTTAATATTTGTTGAAAATCAAGAAGTAATACAGTTGTTAGTTTCACTGCTTCCAATACTGTACTTACTAAACATCAAACACTACATATTATTTCAAAAATTCTCAGTTAAGATATCTCCACATTACACCCTACAGTAATACCACTCTGTATGATTTATTCTTTTACAGTGCCATGAGAATGATGAAAGATTTTCCAATAAGAAAACAATCCAATATATCCCAATTCATTATGTGCTGTATAGTCATCCTTACAATCAACCCAATTACTATCAATATAAACCAGCTGCACCAATTAATAATCAATATATGCCTTTTCTATATGTAAAACCAGTTGCAGTTAAACCACATACCCAAATTCATCAATGGGCCCAGTCAAATAGCCACCAGCCTACTAAAGTACATCACCCCTTCCTATATCCATCAATTATTACCATTCCCCCAAAGAAAATTCAGGAAAAAATAGTTATCCCTCCTGTCAAAACCATGGCTACTGTTCAGCCTACACTTCCTCCTACAACTGAACCATCAGTGAAAACTGTCATCACTCCAGAAGCGACCTCAGAATCCATCATCACAGACACAGCCGAGACTACCACAGTTCCAGTTACTTCACCCATGGTCTAAAAACTTCAAGGAAGCATCAAAGAAGATAAAACAGGTAAATGAGCAAAAGACAAAATGAATAATAAGACAAGATTTCATGTATTTATCAATACAATCACAAACTCTAGAACATACAAATGGAACAGGCAAACTGTGAACAGTCACATGGACTAACTATAATTTGATTTGGTGGTGCTATAGCACTGATACTCTAGATTTCATTCCAAAATGAAGGACAACATTACTTTACAACAAATGGGTAAGCAGTGGATATTTTATTAGCAAACTTTTTTCAATAATTGCAACACTCTTAGAATTTATTAGTTATATTTCATTCCCATTCCACACAAACACAGTGGAGCAAAAGACTATGTTCAAATTTCATGGTGTTTCTTATTCCAACAATGAGTTTTCTTAGAACAATTTACATATAAAATGATTTAAAATACATTTTAATAATTTAACAGTGCTGCACTCTTACTTTGGTATGAATAAAATGAAAGGAAATTATGTTTCTCATACATTCCTTTGTTTCAGACATCATTTCTGAAAGGCCCATGAAGTTAAGCACCTGAAATTTTCTCTAAGATAAACCTGTGGAAGAATTTTTAGCCTTAACTCAAAAAGCACATATATTATAATAGAATACTTCAGGAATCTTTAAGTATTGTGCAAAATGTTTCTATTTATTGTCGGTAGGTAATGAGAGATTAAAATAATTTCATACTTTATAAGAAGAGGTTAAATAAAGAGAATGATAACAAAATAGAAAATGACAAGAGTGTCAAATAATTTGGGGAGCAAGTTAAAAATATTTGAGTCTTTGCAACAATTATTTCACAATATATATTTTCACTGTATTTCTGTCTACACTTTGTTTGATCTAAAATACAGCACAGTAATTTGTGATATAACAGGGATAGCATCAGAAAATTGCTTTTTCCATCAGTAATAACTTAGACAAGTCATTACTCTGAACTTCAAATTCCTCATTGTTTTGGTTGCCATGAGGCTCAAGTAGTAATGTATATTGTAAAAGAATTGTACAAAAATGATCAATCTGTAAAGTATAATGCACTCAGGTAAAGTAAAATTAATAAAAATTACTTTTAATTAGTATCTCATCTTTAAACCTTTCATAATTATTTCAGTGTATTACTATTATATCCATATATAAGAGATTATATTACTATCTTAAATTCACAAGTGGATTAAAAAAACAGACCTAAGGATGCTAAGTAAATTACTATAGCTATAAAGTTCAAATCTGGGAACCAAAACCACATCTATTTGATGTCAGATAGTGAGTCTTAGTTACCAGGCTATCTAGATTCATATGCATTAATTTTCTTTAAAAAAAAACACACAGTGTTTAATAGTTTTTTTTAAAAAAAAAAAACATAGTGTTTATAAATCACATGTGTAAACTGCATTATGTAGTAGGTATTTAACATATCATTCGGTAGGAAAAAAGAAGGTAATAGGTTGTATAAACATTTGGCATGAAAATTTAGAAAAACATGATAGTAATTTAGTAATTAGTTACATATTTTGATGTTTCAAAATAAATTATTACATTACATATTTATTAGAATAACCATTATTTTAATAGTTATATTTATTCAAAACTCATGCACCTAAATTTCTAAGTTAAAGCCCCTATAAAATATCACTTCAGAGAAGGATGTAAAGGACATAGCCTTTTTATAAATGTTAGGTGAAGTCAATTCTTTTAGTTCATTATATGCCAAATTTAAATATTCAATTTGAAAACCTCCTTGAATATAGACATGAGTCAAATCTTGGAAGCAAAATTAAGGACTACAGATGAGGACTGTTAACACATTATGAACCAAATTCCTAAACTGTCATTTTTTTTTTTTTAAGGTCTTACTGAAACAAAATGACTACTTCAAACTCTCTTTTGGCCACATGTCTATGATTTTCAAGAATTTTGCTCCTTTCTCTTCTCCTTAAATTCATGCCGTATTTAACTCTTTGGTTCTTGCACAATAAAACCAATGAAAGCAAATGGTTCTCTTAACTTTTGAGAAGAGTCCGTGGATGTACTCCAAGATCTTTGAAACCTAGATCTCCAATGCAAATTTTGTATGGGTTTGAGTATATAAGCATATCTGGGGACAAATTTCATAATTTTCTCTGATTCTAAAAGGGATTCTTGCTCTAAGACTGATTAAGACATTTTCTCCAAGATGACACTGGAACATCTGAACTTATAGCTAACTCCCTGAGACTAGAGAGGAGCTAAGTCAAAGTGTTCCAATTCAAAGGACTGCACAGTGATTCTTGGGGGCCACACGGGAACACTAAAATAAGCATTACGTTTACGTGCTCGAATGTAATGTGAATTTTAGTGTTGATCATTCCCAAAAGTGAAGCCTGGGCACAAGCAGACTACATAGGACCACAGCTATAAATACAGATACATGGCAAAGTAACAGGAGTTATCTCGGAATCTTGACCTGAATGATGAGTTTCCTCCAGAATGAAAGCTATAATCTCATGTCTGTATTTACACATGTACACAAGTCACACACACACACACACTCCAGGAGTTCTGGAACTGATGACTTCCAGCCTATAAAAAATAGATGAATACTCAAGGTCCAAAAATAAGACAGCTTTTCCTTGAAAATGAGTGGGTTATTTATATATTTGTTCTACATTTAACATATCACGTCAGGAAAAACAAAATTATTCAACTCTTACACACCCCATTGGTGAGCCATCTAATCTTTTGCAGAAACCCTCAACAGATATATTATTAGTAGTTGTTTACAGGCTACCACATGCTTTCTCACATAAATGCTAAACTCTGGAAATAAAGTGCAGTCAGGTACATGGCATGGTTAGCCATAATTTACTATCACCATTAGTAACATTATTTTTTTTTTAATTAACTTTTATTTTTTTAAGATTTATTTAATTATTTATACAAGCACTGGGTACAGTCAGAAGGGCTGGAGGATGAGAGAATTCACCAGAGCCAGAGCGTGGAGCAGAACAGGCAGAAGGACTGAAGTACACTGCTGAGGGGAGCAACGGGCAGCAGGAGAGGTCTGTACACCATGTGGGACCCTCACCCGGTGGCCGAGGATCGAACCGGTGCTGCAGAGGCTGCAGGCAGCTTCGCAACCCAGCACTCAACTGCTGCGCCACTGGGGAGGCCCATTAATAACATTATTAATTTCTTGAGAAACAAAATTAAAATGTAGAACAAGAATTTCATTAATTGAAAAAAAACACTTCCTTTATATAAGGTAAAATAAGGCATTGTGGAATACAAAATAGTAATAATATTTAATAATAATAACCAAACAACAATCATACAGTACACACTATATAGACTAGCCAAACTTTCTTTTGTTTACATGTATTTATTCATTCAATATTTACTCATTAGGGCCTCCCTGGTGGTATAGGCGGTTGAGCGCAGCTCTGTGAAACTGTCCGCAGTCTCTGCAGCGCGGGTTTGATCCCGGCAGGCTGGCGAGAATTCCACATGGTGCGACAGACCTCTCCTGTCTCACCCGCTGCTCCCCTCAGCAGTGTATTTCAGTCAGTCTGCCTGTTCTGCTGCCCGCTCTGGTGAATCCTCTCACCCTCCCGCGCATCTGGCCTGTACCCTGGTTCTTGTATGCATGAATAAATAAATCTTTTAAAAAAATATATTTACTCATGAACTACATATATTTGTTGTAGTTGTTAATAGAAATGAACTAATTTTCCCTAAGTAGAGATGGTATTTGAACCCAGATGGTTTTGCTTTAAAGGCCATGTTTTTAATCATGTGTGTTACTATAACAGCATTTCCAATCTAGTAGGTAAAATAAAATCTGAAACAAGTAAAACAGTTCTTAAGTACTAATGTTAACTCTTATTGATATAACATCCAATTAAATAAAATTAATAGTACAAGTTCTTATATCTCCCTGATAATACCTCATCTTTTTTACCAACTGGACTAACTATTTGGGAGTATTTTATGTACTTAATATTGCACAGTAAATCCTTCAACTACAACTTATATGTTAAGACACTGATTGCAGATTATTTTGGGTTTGAATAAATGAGCTTCAAATGCAATGGTCCATCTATGGAGGTGGTTTGCTCCTAATGAGAAATTGAGTCTTCAGCACAGAAAAGAAATCTGATCTGTAAATTTATATATAAGCATTCATTCATCAACTTTTTGCCAAATGCCCACTATGTAGATACAACATGTTTCTTTTCCACCTCTTGGACTTTATAGACTAATGAATTTAGAAAAAAACTTATTATTATGCAATCCTGTAACAGCTGTCTGAAAGTTCTCAGATTTTCCAAAATACAGTGGCAAGTTGTACCAATAAGCTTTCTATATCACTTTAAGATTCATAAATCACTTTCACAAATATCAACCTCTAAAATTTACCAGTAAGTTCTTGAAATAATTTTTGATCCTAATTTTGCATGTGTGAAAACAACTTCAAAATTACAAAACATAATATATATGGGTTTTAAATGGATAGAATTGAACTAAATTTTTAGCTCAACATTTAACATAATGTTGATTATGATTTGGGCAATGAATTGAATGAAAACTAACATTTTCAACTGATATATGAAATGTATCAGGTGCTATGACAAGAATTTTAGAGGTATTAATATATTACCACATAATACTCTTGGAGAGACACTATTATTATGATTATATATAAATTAGGAAACTGAGGCTAAGAGAAATTAATCAAGATCAAAAGGCTAGTAGTAGTAGAGTTGAGTTTTGAATTCTAACAATTTAATCCACCAGTCTTCATTATTTTACAACTAGAACATAAAGCCTTATACCTGAGATATTTGTTAAAGTATCTTATATTAACTGGCTAGTCAATAAATATTCATTCCTCTCTCCCTAAATTCCCTAAGTAACATTTCCAAATACATCAGTTGTCCATAGGTAAACTTTAATGATCTTGTTATTATCGAACTTCCAACTTATCTCTCTGTATTAAATCATC